GAAAATCAAACTGGGATAGAAAGGAATATACCTTTTCCTCATTGGTACATGGCACCTACCCAAAAATTGACCATGTATTAGGGCATAAAAACCTCATCAATTGCAAGAAAGTAGAAATACTAGAATATGTACTTTTCAGGTCATGATGCAATATAAATTACATTCCATAAAGGGCAGTAAAAAGATAGACTAAAAATTCATTGGAAACTAAATAATCTAATCATCAAGTGGGTTAAAGAACAAATCATAGAAACAGTCAATAATTTCACTAAAGAAGACCAAAACAATGGACAACATACCAAAATTTGGGATGAAAGCAAAGTAGTACCTAGGGGAAGTTTGTATCTCTAAATGCTTGTGTCAATAAAATAGAGAAAGAACAGATCAATGAAATGGGTGTGTAACTAAAAAAAAGTGGAAAAAGAACAAATTAAAAATTCCAACTAAACATCAGATTGGAAATCCTGAAAATCAGAGGAGAGAGGAAACCATTGAACTAATAAATAAATATAGAGCTGGTTTTATGAAAAAAAAATACAGTAGAAAAAAATAATGAAACTTTGTTAATATAGTTTTAAAAAGGGAAAGAAGAAAACCAAATTACTAGTATAAAAATGAAAGGAGTAAATTCACCACCAAATGAAGAGGAAATTAAAACAATTATTAGGAGTTATTTTACCCAATTACATGCCAATAAATCTAACAATTTAAGCAAAATGGATGAATATTACAAAAATATAAATTGCCCAGACTAACAAAAGAGGAAATAGAATACTTAAATAACCCCATCCTAGAAAAAGAAATTTAACACACCACCAGTGAATTTTCTAAGAAAAAAAAAATCCCATGGTCAGATGGATACACAAGCAAATTCTATCAAACATTTAAAGATCAATTAACACCACATTATTTGGAAAAACAGTCAAAGAATACAAAATTCCTTTTATGATACAAATATGGTGCTCATATCTAATCCAGGAAGAGTGAAAGCAGAAAAAAAAAACCCTATAGACAGACTTCCCTAATGAATATTAATGCAAAAATTTTAAATAAAATGCTAGTAAGGAGATCACAGCAACATGTGACAAAGATCATACACAATGACCAGGTGAATTTATACCAGGAATGCAGGGCTGGTTCAATATTAGGAAAATTTTCAGCACGATTGACCATATCAATAACAAAATCAAAAGAAATAATCTGATTATCTCGATTGATGCAGAAAATGTCTTTGACAAAATACAACACCCTTTCCTATTAGAACATTAGAGGTATGGAGCTTTACTAAAAATGATAAGTAAAATCCATCTAAAACAATCAGCAAGCATTATCTGTAATGAGGATAAGCTACAATCCTCCCCATTAAGATTAGAAATAAAGCAATGATGCCCATTATTACCACTATTATTCAAAATTGAACTAGAAATGTTAGCTATAGGGGCAGCCAGGTGGCACAGTGGATAGAACTCTGGTGTTGGAGTCAGGAGGACCTGAGTTCCAATCCGGTCTCAGACACTTGACACTTACTACCTGTGTGACCCTGGGGAAATCACTTAACACCAATTGCCTCAACAAAAATAAAAAAAAAAGTTAGCTATAGCAGTAAGAAAAGAAGAATATATTTAAGGAATTAGAACAGACATTGAGGAAAAAAATATCGCTCTTTGCAGATGATGATGGTATAGAGAATCCTGGAGAATCAACTAAAAAACTAGTTGAAATTAAGAATTTTAGCAAAGTTGCAGGATATTAAATAAACACATGTAAGTCATCAGCATTTCTGTATATTATCATCAAAGTCCAGCAGCAAGAAGGAGAAATTCTATTTTAAATCACTTTTAAAAACTTGGGTATCTACCTGCAAGACAAACCCAGGAACTATATGAACACAGTTACAAAACACTTTTCACACAAATAGAGACAAATCTAAACAATTGGAAAAATGTTAATTGCTCATGGATAAAGTGAACCAAAATACTAAAAATGAAAATTCTACTTAAATTAGTCTATTCGTTGAATGGCATACCAATCATACTACCAAGAAACTTTTTTTATAGAGCTAGAAAAAACAAACTTTACCTGGAAGAACAAAAAGTCAAGTATCAAAGGATCAATGAAAAAAAAAAGTGAAGGAAGCAGTACCAGATTTCAAACCTTATTATAAAGTAATCTTCAAAATAATCTGATGTTGGCTAAGTAATAGAGTGGTTGATCAGTAGAATAGATTAGGTGGACAAGACAAGGTAGTAAATGACCATAGTAATTTAGTGTTTTATAAACCCAAAGACCCCAGCTTCTGGTTAAGAACTCACTATTTGACAAAAACAGCTGAGAAAACTGGAAAACAGTATGGTAGAAACTAGGCATAGAGCAACATATACCACATATGCCAAGATAAGGTCAAAATGAGTGCATGATTTAAAGGGTGATAACATAAACTAGGAGAGCTTGGAATAGTTTACCTGTCAGATCTTCAGATAGGGAAATACTTAGGACCAAACAAGATAAAGAAAACATTACAAAATGTAAAATGGATAATTTTTATTATAAAATATTAAAAAGGTTTTGCACAAATAAAACCAAAGCAACCAAAATTAGAAGGAAAGCAGAAAACTGGGAAAAAATTTCTGCAAGTATCATTGAGCAAAGCCTCATTTCTTAAATACGTAGAGAACTGATTCAAATTTATAAGAATACAAGTCATTCTCCAATTGACAAATAGTTGAAGGATATAAACAGGCAGTTTTCAGTCAAAGAAATCAAAGCTATCTATAGTCCTATGAGAAAATGCTTTAAATCAATAATGATTACAGAAATTCAAATTAAAACAACTCTGAGGTACCACTTCACACCTATCAGATTGCTTAATGTGACAGAAATAGAAAATGATAAATGTTAGAGAAGATGTGGTAAACTGGGACACTAATGCACTGTTGGTGGAGTTGTGAACTGATCATTCTAGAAAGCAATTTGAAATTATGCCCAAAGAACTATAAAAGTGATCCAGCAATGTCGTTGTTTGTCTGTTGTTCTCAAAGATGACCATGACATCAGGAAGATGAAGCCATGACTTGCAAGTGAATTGGAGCTAAGTGAGGGAGGATTGTACAAAGTCACCAGACTCACCTTCTCCTCCAGAGCAATTTTAATCCAGTTGCAAGACATTGATCAGGATGAGTGGAGATGGCCCCCAATCCAGCAATACCACTACTAGGTAGATATCCCAAAGAGATTTTTAAAAGTTGTGGGCAGAAGAACCTATTTGTACAAAAATATTTATAGCAGCTCTTTTTGTGGTGGCTAAGAATTGGAAATTAAGGGGATGCCCATCATTTAGGAAATGGCTGAACAAGTTTTTGTACATGATTATCATGGAATATTTTTGTGCTATAAGCATTGATAACCAGGACAACTTCAGAAAAGCCTGCACTTACATGAACAGTTATAGACTGAAGTGAGAAGAACCAGAAGGGAAAAAAAAAAACAAAACATTATACACAGTAACAGTAATGCACAATGAACAACTGTGAATGACTTAGTTTTTCTTAGCAATACAATGATCCAAGACAATCCCAAAGGACTCATGATCAAAAATGCGATCCAACTCCAGAGAAAGAACTGATGGCATCTGAATACAATGATGTCTGAATGGCAAAGCACACTATTTTTCTCTTCTTTTCTTTCTTCCTTTCTTCTTTTTCTTTCTTCTTTTTTCCTTGCTTTCTTTTTTCCTTCCTTGCTTCTTTCCTTCCTTCTTGCCTCTTTCCTCCCTCCTTCCTTCCTCCATTCCTCCCCCTCTTCCTTCTTTATTTCCATCTTTCTTTCCTCCTTGCTTCCTACCCTCTTCCATTTCTCTTTCCTTCCTTCCTTTCTTCCTTCTTTTCCTTCCTTCCCTCCCTCCTTCCTTCATTTTTTATTTCTTTCCCTTTTTGTTTGTGTTTTCTTCCAGAAAATGATTAATATGGAAATGTTATACATGACCGATAATGTATAAACTATATCAAATTGCTTACCATCATAGGAAGGGGTGAGAAGAAGGAAGGAGGGATAGAATTTGGAACTAAAAACTTTTGAAAAAACAAGTGATAAAAATGTTTTTACATATAATTGGGGAAAAATAAAATATTGTTAAGCAATAAAAAAGAAAAAATGAATATTGGAAAATCACAAAAACAAACTGGACCCAAAATAAGAGAAATGAAAAGATACTTTTCCCTGTCTTCGTAGAAGTTTGGGGCCCTTGTATATGAAACATTATATATAGTCAGATTTTGTTTTTGATGTATTCATTGTTTTCCCATTTTTTTCTTCTTTCTCTTTCTTCTTTGTAGAAATAATTCCTTGTTGTAATGGATTGACTTCTGGGAAGTAAAGGGTGAAGTAAACAGGGAAATTAGGAAATTAAGGATCAAAGGTTTGAATTAAGATTCATCTTATAAGTTAAGGGCAGCCCAGAAGACAGCGTAGTAGTCATACTGTCAGAGAATAAGCAGTGCTACAAGACAACAAATAATCCTATCAAAGGAGCAGAAAGTGCTTTGAGGGAGTAGGCTACACTATCAGGGAGCAGGCAATGCTACCTTAGAATAGACAGCTCTACTAAAGAAGCCATGTGTAATCTCATAAAATGGTCAGCATTGTCAGAGAACAGGAAGTACTATCTAAGAATAGATAGCACAATTAGGGAAGCAGAAAATAATACCAGAGTTCAATGATACTGAACACATTAAACTGCATCCTATGGTGATGATTTATGAAGGGTAGACCCTAGTATGAAGATATTTGAGAATTTGTAATGTTAATTGGTTTTCTTTTTGCAAAATAAACTTTCTTCTGATAGGTCATGTCCAATGTGTATCAGGAGGGAATTCCAACTTGTAATGTTCAATGGGGATATCATAGAGGTCTCACTGATATGAAGTGTTATATTCATTCCAAATATAATCTAGCACTTCCTGTCACTTGTGCTCCTTATAAATAGTTTACAGAAGCATACTCACTAAAGCATTCAGGCACTGGAGACCATCCTTCTTCAGTACAAGAAAATTGTGTCCAATAGCTTGAGGTAGATCCTTGAGCAGGTACATAATTTTTGTTACAATGGTAGTACATTACTTTTCCAATAGATTCTGGAAACAACCTTCGATAGTATTCCTGGCTGTACCAATGTGGCTTATAAAGTTCTCCATTTTCAATTTCTGGATAATCACAAGGTCTCACTTGGGAGAAAGTGAAGTAAAAATAAATTATTTTCCTTATTAATAATTTTAATTATTTAATTAATTTTAATTTCCTATTATGAATACACACTTTACAATATACTATAGCTGCATTCTTTTCATTTGTGATCTCAGAATGCGCACTTAGAATCATAAAGTTAGAAGGAATTTTTGAAAGTTATCTCAATTCAATTAAACAAATATTTTAAAATGTCTACTACATACAAGACACTAAACTATGCAATTAGGATGCAAAGACAAATGTAATCTTCTTTGCCTTTGAGTACTTATATTCCACTAGAGGCTCTGAGGATGATAGCATCTAAATTGTATGAGATGGTTGGTAACTTGCCTATATTTAAATACTTCCCTGGAGAGATTCTACAGATTTCTCAGTAATCCACCCCAGTATCAAACACACTGTATCAGATCCCAAGAAAGTTTTTAATTTTCCAATTGTTCTTCCTCATATTCACCACCCCAAAGATAGTTAGTTCTGCATAAAATATCAAAATATCATATCCACTCTTCCCATCTCTTTCCTTTATGAATGAATAGATAAGAAATTAAATGCTTTCTTCAAGGAATAGTGCTTATTCAAAATTGGCTAGGAAATTATAATACCCAAAGACATCAAGATATATGAAGGTTAGGCTGGATCCCTGAGTTGGTCAAGTATGATATGGAGATGTTTTGATATTGTAGAATGCCTGCTCTTCCACTGTACTCTCATCCCTTGGCCTCTATGACAACACTATCTTGCTCTTTGTTCTCCTCAAATCTATCTGATCATTCCTTCTTAGTCTTCTGCTACAATTCCATCTATTTTCTTATTAAACATTATTATCCTCCAAAGCTCTATCCAGGGACCTCTTCTCTACTCTTTCTTAACATTCTTGTTGATCTCTTCAACTCCCATTGGTTCAATTAGCTCTATGCAAATTCTCAGATCTACATATCCAATCTCCAGCCATCTTCTGAACTCTAGTCCCATCTCACCAATTGCTTGCTGAATATTTCAGTACAAATTTCACATCAGTATCTTAGACTCAACACATCTAGAATTGAACTTATACTATTTCCTGATGACTCATCATTCCTACACCCTTTTCCTTTTCAGTGGAGGATGCCATCCTTCTAATTAATTACACAGGTTCACAACCTTTGAGTCATCCTTCACCTTTCCCTATCCACTATGTCATAAATCCAATCAATTTTCATATCTTGTTGATGCTATTACCATTACACTTCTCCTATCTTACCCCTTTATCCTGAGACTCACAGCTCCTTGCCTACAAAATGACAAAAGCCTCTTAATTGTCCTGGATACTTCTAGTCTCACTTTGTCTCCAAACTATCCTCTACACAACAGCCAAATTATTATTCATAATACACAGGTCTGAAAATTCATTTGTCCACTCAAAAAATTCAGTAGTTCCTGGTTTCTAGTGCAAAAATAAATTCTTAATCTGTAATACAAAGGTTCCCATCATATAATTCCCATCTGCCTCTCAAAATATTTCATATTAGTCTCCATCATGCATTCTACTTTCCAGGCAAACTGGAAAAGTAGGTGCTCCAAATGTGGCGTGCTGTGTCTTATCTATAGGACTTTGAACAGGCTGAAATATACTGAATATACTGAAATATACTTCTTTCTCACCTTTGTCTCTTAAAATGCCCAGCTTCCTTCAAAGCTCAGGTCAGTTGCTACCTCCTACATGAAACCCCCAAGGTGTTAGTGCTTTTCCCCATCTCATCTTGTATTCACTCATCTGAGCATATAATGAATGTTTATATTTATAGTGTACCATTCTCAGATTTTTTTTTTTGGTAGGGGAGGGAAACTATATCATCCTATTCTATCAGAATGAAATTGCAAATTGAACAAAAGCCAATACAAGAAAAACTTAAAAAAAAATAAACTTAGAAAGAATATGGTGATGTTTCTAAAGAGATTTAAATAGGTTTCATTGTAATATTTTTGCATTCATAAACTCTCATGTCTGAATAAAACATAAGAGATATGACTACAAAGTAATAATGCTTGTTTCTTTTAAACATACCAAACCTTAAACATCTAAATAACATTTATCTATAGAAGTTGTTAGGAATTCAATGGTATTGCCACTGTTCAAAATATTCTTGGAAGTTCTATATTGGAAACGCCCTCATGCTCGATTTATAAGCTATTTTGGGGGAAGGGTAAAAGGCGGGGTGGAGGATACCTGTAATTTCACGGTGTAATTTCCAATGGGTAAACTACATCTTAATGATGCAAATCACCAACTGCGCTTCAGTTTCAAATGTTAGAGTGCAGCTTGGGGTATAGAGAAGCAAAGCACTTTTATCAGTCACATGGGCATTATGTTTTGGAGGCATCAACAAGTTTGGTTTCTTTGGACTAGACTTGTGATTTTACTGGTTTAGGGACTCCTATTTAAAAATTCATTGCTGATTGTATATCCACTCTGTAGTTTATAGTCCTACAGGTTTTCCTGAGAAAAGGAGAGGTTAAATGACTTGCTGAGGTTCATGTAACCAGTATAATTCAGAGGCAGAATTTAAACCGTAGTCAGCTTTCCATGAGGGTTGACTACCTACATAATATGCCATGCTACTTTATGGTTATAGGCCATGCCAGAAAAAAAATTGCTAACATTTATAATTATATCTTGGATATTGAAGTCATTTTTACCTCTTTTAGAATGAGACAATGCCATAAGATGGACTTACTGATTTATAGTGTGGTTGTAATCTGGATTGATGTAACATTTCCATATCAAGGAAATTATAGATTCTCAGGTGCAATGAAAAACAAAGAAATACAATTTCAGGTTCTGATTTCTTCTTTTATTAAATATATAATCATTTCCCCAAAGTCTGGCCTTCTAGAATTAACATACTTTCATTAGCCACTGACCTAGTTCAGGCTATCATCATCTTGGTCCAGACTATTGCAATAGCTCCCAAATTAGTCTCTCTGCTTCAAGTATTTTCCCATTCCAATTCATCCTCCACATAGCAAAGGTGTTTTTCCTAAAGTACAAGTTTAACCATGTCCTTCTTTTAATCAATAAATCCCAGTGGCTCCCTAACACTTCCAAGATCAAATATAAACTCTTCTGTTTGGCCTTCAAAGCTCTTCACAGTAGTAAGTTAGGTTACTAACTTGAGTACATTTTCCAACATGAGTACATTACTGCTCCCTTTCATGTATTTTGTGGTCCAGCCAAACTAGTCTTTTTACTGCTTTTTACACACAACATTCCATTTTATGTCTCCATCCCTTTGCACTTGTGGTCTTTTATGGCTTGACTTTCCCTCTTGACCTCTGCCTCAAAGGATTTTTTCTTCAATATTCTGTTCAAGTGACACTTACATTAAGTCTTTCCTGACCATCCCTTCTGCTAGCTCTTTCCCCATACAAAATTACCATTCATTTTTTTTGATGGGGGGATTGATATTTTGCATTTATATCTCTATGTATATTTCCCCTAATAGGTTTTAACCTCCCTGATGGAAGATATTGTTTCACTTTTGGCTTTGTATCCCCAGTACTTATGTTTTTGTATCACCTAGCACACTATACCTGCCATATGATAGACAGTAAATGCTTATAGGGTGATCAAGAAACTGTTTTGTAGAACCCTGATGCCTTAAATCTGAAGAATTTTCAGACTAGAGTACATGATATGTGGTGCCAAATATCAGAGGAATGATTTTGCAATCTAAATCTATTAGTCATTAAAAACACATAAACAAATCAAGAAGTGAACTACAATGACTATTTATAAATTGGGAATCAGGATATCCTTGACCATGCTACAACGTTTCTATGGTTTGTGGGAAGTTGGACTCATAAATGTTCCCAAAAGTGCTATAGAAAATCAGACCAAAATAATCAACATGCAAACTGGTCTGGTAACTTGCCAAAAGTTTTCAATTCAGTGGATTAGGGATTTGTCTTTCCAGGGAAAATATTTTGGACTTTTAAAGGAAATAATTGAAACATATATACTTGAGAGAAATTTTCTTCTAATTCTGTTCTGATGGAGCTAGAATATTCCAAGTTATTAAGTGATGTCTATATATGATTCATATTACAAAATCAAGAAAAATATATGTTGACTTATAATATTTTAATAAAATAAACAATTATTTCATAGTCTTCAAAGTAGAACAAGGTACGAATGAAACTTACAGTTACATCTTGGAAGAGGTAACCAGCCTTCAGATGTACATTTTGCCTTATTTCCAGTAAGTGGTGGGTAAAAACCTTTTGTGCACTGGTACGAGATTTCATCACTTCCTCTATATTTATCTTTCTTAGGTTGTATATTCCCATTAACCAGGTATGGGGGATTACATGTGATTTCTAAAAATAAGTATGTCATTAAGTCAATTAAGGTATAAGAACTACTTGTCCATTAAGATTATGAAATCTATTTAAATAACACAATAGATTTTAGCCTCACTTTCAAGGAACATTTAAGTTCCTTTTCATTCAGAATGGTTAAACCATCCTATATTCTAATAACTCAAATGGCCTTTCTGAAAATCAGTATATATGTCAAAGATAGATTACCAATTTTCATATTATTTGAATATAGAAAATATATTGAACTTATTTTTGTGATAAGAAAGTATTTCATAATCTTTCAGTACCTCAGAATCAACTTTATGAATAGCAATTTTTTTCATATATACCACAGTAGAAAAATGAATGTTTTTAGCTTCCTGGCTGTAGGAAGCTTTTTTTAAAATTACAGATGAATGGAAATTTACTTTAATTCACATTAATGATAGACTTTCTCTATTTATATCTCATCTGATCATGTATTCTACGCAGTGCCATTTGTTGCTTTGACATGATAGTGCTGGAGGACTTGTCTTGTCATGCGGTATCACATAGCCCACATACCAAACTTACACTATCTCTTCCTTTACTATAGCTCTTTGATGCTCCCTTCCATTCTTCCCCGTGTGTGCAGTAAGGGCTTAGCTGTTTATCCTCTGTATCTTTTACCTACTAGTCATAATTTTGCCTGCAAGAGTAACACAGAATACATCTCTCTCTTCCACATGAAAATCATTTAAATGTTCGAAGACACCTACCACATCCTACTTTGGTTCTTTCTTCTACAAGCTAAAGATACTCAGATCCTTCAACTATTCCTTTTATGATATAATGTGAATACTCTTTAGCATCCTACTCACCCTCCTTTGGCCTTGTTTCCATTCATTTGCATTCATTTGTCACTAGCCCTTTTAAAATATGATGATCAGAAATAACCATAATATTGGGAATTCAGTCTTTCTAGTGAAGACCTCTATAACTACCCTGATCTAGGCACTACTGTACTTGTTTTAGTACTGTGATCATTTTTCAGAAACCACATTGCATAGTTGGTTCATATTAAGCTTGTGGTCAATTAAAACCCCCTGTCTTTTTCAGATAACCTGCTGCTTCCAAAATCTTGCTCTTCTTATAGTTGTATAATGTCTTAGATTTCAACATAGGATTGTATAAGAAGCAAAACTGTATAGAAAAAAAAAACTGAGGGACTTGAGTTCTCTTTCTGTCATTAAAGAACTGTATGACCTTGAGAAAGTCCAATCTCTCTAGCTCCAAGTTTCCTTACTGCACAATAAGGAGGGTGGACTAGATGATCTCCAAAGTTGTTTCCACTTCAGTGAGTAATTACTGATACAGTTCATATTACTGGTTTCAAGCACATCAAGTTAACCATTCTATTGGGAGAAAGGAAGAGTTCTTTGAAAAGCAACTAAGCATACAATTAGTTGGTTAAATAAATATGACTTGAGATAATAAAGAAGCAAAATATGACCTCTACATGACATAACTGGAGTCCAACCATTTTTAGTGCAAGTGGCATCTCCTCGTTCATTATGTGAAAAACCTGCATTACATGTATATTGTAGCCGTTCATTCTCCTTGTAAATTGGTTTCACAGCTAAAATATTCCCATTTTCAATGCGTGGTATTTCACAGAAAATTTCTAGATAAAATGGAGAAAATATCAAAATGTTTTAAATGACTGGTAAAATAATGTTAAAAGAAACAAACAATATAAACAGGTAATATTGGAAAGAAAAAATAGTTTTTATCTGAATAAATAAAGTAACATAAATGTCTCAACTGCTCGATGTTTCATTTGTCTTTCTTTTTATCTGTCTCACATAGCTGTTGAAGGAATTAAAACAGTTTGACAAAATTTATTACATTGCTAAAAGGTTAGCCTTAAACCAGTTTGTCAGCTTGAAATAAACAGCAGATAATAATATTCAAATGTGCATATCCTCTGCAATTTTTTTTATAAATTAAATTAAAGCATGTGTTGCTGGTATTACCATTATCAAAAATATATGGCTGGGGGGTAGGAAGACATCCAATGATGCCAATAGCCCTGATGAGGGCAACAGCTTCTCTCTCTCACTGGGGCTACCTGAAGAGAACACATAGAATTTGAAAGCAGTAACACTCTTTTTACCTGTGGTGAAATCTTTTGGAAAGATAGAGGAAAGAAGAGAGGGAGGAAAGGAAAGAGAGAGCCTGCCAGGTACAAAATTTAAAGGGGGAGAGAGAGAGAGAGAGAGAGAGAGAGAGAGAGAGAGAGAGAGTGAGTCATATGAAGCCTCTGCAAAGCAATGCCATTTTGGGAACATGGTTTTCCCTATATGTCTTTGTGTTCCACCATGCTTTGTGTGCTTAGAAAAGTTTATGTGTGGACATACGCTATCAAGCTTTCTGAGATCCCACATATGGAGAGCACCAAAGCATTTGGTGGTGATGACAATGCTGCCGTAGCATGACTTCTACAAAAGCTGTATTCTTTACAATTTCTAAGATACTCTTTATTCTTCTGTGTGTATTTGTATTAGGCGGACAGGGCTTATAAAGATATATCACTGCATTTGGATCTAAAACTCATACAAGTTCAAGTCACAAATAATTTACAAGTTATAGAACAAGTTATTTAGTGAAGTAGTTACCATATTTGATTTATACTATATCAATTCCAAACGACTAGATGGCTAGCTAAGTATTTTAGAAAATATCCAAGGTCTTCAGAAGCATAGAATAAAAGCTTTACCTCACCACAGTGATTCTTTATCTATCAGCTACTTTCCCCATTGCTCAAACATGTTTTTTTCTTGAGTTTTAAAACAAATTGGTCCATAAGGACTATCTTTTATTTATGGTAACAGGGAAACAATGGTAGAATGTTTTACTTAAATAAACATTTTTTTACCATTGTTGGATTAAAATATCTAATTAAAATGCAATGTTTTCCAAAATAAAGAGAACATTGGCAGTAAAATAACATTTACAAAAGGGTTATTTTTTTCTATATACTGTATAAATCAAAGTGATTTAATGTAGTTGCTAACATCTAAGAATTTATAACCACAAACGTGGACTCAGAAATTTTCTGTCATATATAAAAGTTGAATACTGGCTAGTATCCATATAAAGGAACAATTCAGTTAATTGAGTTTTTTTACAATTTTCTTTTTAGACTGTAATGAAGAAAGAAGGCTAGTAATACATTTAACATTATATTAATGTTCATTATTTTGTACATTAATGTTATGTTTCTGTGATGGAGAATAAGAGTATATGAGAGATATAAAGTAAAGCTAAGTAGATTTGCCTTCACCCTGTTTGCTTTGTGTTTGAGATGTCTTTTGGATAGTATGTCATAGAGGAATAGAATAGAGAGGAAAAATTCAAGATTAGACAGGTAAGTTAGAGAGGGAAAGATCTGATAGAAGACTATTACCATATTCTAGGTGAGAGGTAACAATAAACTGAATTATGTTGAAGGCAATAGGAATGTAAGGAGGGCATATATGCAACAGATATTTTGGAAGCATAATTCACTATACTTCACAACATATTAGACTGTAGGTTGCAGTAGCAGGAAGAGTAATATATGTTCAGTTTACATGCATGGACTAGGAGAATTTGAATGCAACTGAGGGTCAAGAAAGTTCCAGAATTTGGAGACAGGGGGATGGTAAGTTTCTAATTTTTGGCTGATATTGAGGTTCCAGTGAACTCTCTAAGGGTAAGTGTCCAATAAGTAGTTTGCTAGTACAAATTTAAAATAGAGGTCAGATAGCATGGTGGATGGAGATTTAGGAACTGATTGCTTATTGGTCATAGATAATTATCTGCGGAAGAGAAGATATAGAAGTAGGTAAAAATATAGAGAGGGAAAACAAACAGAATGAGAACAGAGCCTTTATTAAAGGGATCAGGTAGAGGAAAATGAACCAATCAAGAAGACAGAGAAGGACTAGAGAAGTGAAAGAACCAGGAGTACCTCTGTTGAAGGAAATGGAAAATCTCAAGGAGGCAAGAGTTGATAAACACCGTTAAATACTATGGAGATCAAAGATAAGAGGACTGAGAAAACAACTGAATCTATTGATTAAGAGGTCATTGGTAACCTTTGAAGAAGCAATTTTAGTAGAGTAATGAAGAAGTAAGCAAGACTTCAAAAGAATATGGAGATAATACATGGTGAGGTAAGTGAGAGAGAAGTACAGGCTTTATCATAAAGAAACTTATCAGGGAAAGGAAGAATAATGTTTGGATGGAAGTTTTATTGAAGAATAGGATAGGACTGAGGGAAGGAGAGAGGGAAGGAAGGAAAGAGAGAGAGCCATCCAGTCAGAAAAGATAAAAAGAGAGAAGTGAAGAGAGAGAGAGATTCAAATGAGATTAAGGAAAATATGAAACGCAAAAAAAATAAATTTAAGAAATATACCCTGACATTAAATAGCTTACAATATCATTGGGCAGAAAAAAAAGAATCTCTTGATTGTCATTCAAAAGGAAGAGTGATCTTCTGGTAAATTGCTCCTTGTAGTTGTTGTTAATGAATGGTAGCAAAATTGTAAATGTCTAGGACCAAAGTCTTACCATCTTGATAAATACAGTTTTTGCATTCTCTTTATCTTGTATACATAATCCAAAAGAATCCTAAATTATATAAAAGGACAAGATGTAAAAGAAGCCAGATAAAAGTAAATTTTTCTTACCTACACATTGAGGTTCTTTTTCATTCCAATCACCACCTGTTGAGCAGTGTATTTCCCTAGGCCCCTTCAGCTTAAAGCCTGGGTTACATTCAAACTGTACGACTTGGCCAAAAGTAAATTCCTGTTCTGGGTCAAATGAACTTGTGGAAATTTTTCCATTTTCTGGTGCTGTCACTGGTGAACACTTAACCACTAAAAACATGAACATACACTTACAGATGTACTTACACAATTTGTAATATCTATTGTAAAAGAAAACAATTCTACAATAAAAAGGATTTGTAAAAAAAACAAAATTACTTGAATATTTCACTATAAAGATTTTATGATTGATATAAAAGTGATCAACAATGCCTAGTAAAATAATGATACATGCATTTTTCTTGGAGGGAATGACAGTAAGGTTTGCTAGTTTTACAATCTTTATAGCAATAAATAAATATTATCTTGAAGAACTGGCGAAAAATGAATACTTGAAGACAAAATAAAAAAATTAATGTTACTAGCAGTCTCTTAATAAATACTTATTGGTTATTTATCCTTTATGATGTAATTGTAATCTAGAGAAAGTATCACAAATATCTATAACAATATAGTCTATATTAGTGACCTTACATTTATAATATTCTTCTTTACCTCATTAAAAAAATAAAACTATCTGATTGCATTTTTGAACTTGGATGCTAATGGAAAGAGCATTGAATTTTGAGTCAAACAACTTGAGTTCAAATGTTGCCTCCCATTTTCTATCTATGTGACCTTGGAAGGCTACTTAACCTCTATGGACCACAGTTTCTTCAGCTGTAAAATGAAGAGGTTGGACTAGGTTGTCTCTAACATCTCTTTTGGGCCTAAAACTGTGATGTATGGTCTATGATAATCTTCAGTGTTCCTAAATGTCTAAGCATAATGACATTCTGACAGCAAGTCCTTATTATGCCTGTAGTGATCTTCAGTGGCTGAATTACTAAGAAATATTAGTTATCTGGGGATTAATCATGCATTATTTATTATTGACTATAAACTCAAGTGATAAATAATTTTTGAATATTGAGGGGAGAATTTTAATTGTTGATTTATAGGAATATGATTAAATTTGACATAAAATGTACTTGTCATACAAATGTACCTTCGCAGAAAGGGACATCATTGCTCCATCCATCTGCTTCACATACACGGAAATTAACTGGGCTTACCAACTGATATCTGCAAATGTAAAGCAATTGAAAGCAAAATCATGTTTGTATGTGGTTCAGAACACCTCTGAAGCATCTTTAAAAAAATAACAATTGAATGTTACTTAGCTTATTGTCAAACTCCTTTTTAGAAAAGATAAACTTCCATAGCTCGGTGATCTAATAATAATAATACATTGCATTTATATAGCACTTTGTTTTTCAAAGTGCATTAAAATATCTTACTTTTCCCTCACAACAAGCCTGAGAGATAAGTGTTATTATTATCTCCATTTTTGCAGATAAGAAAACTGAGGCAGACAGAGGTTAAGTGACTTGCACAGGGTCATCCAGCTTGTAAATGTCTGAGGCTAAATTTGAATTCAGGTTTTCCTGACTCCAGATTGAGCATTTTATGCATCAAGCCATGTAACTTTGAGTACTCCTCCAACAAAGCTTTTTGCAACCAATTCATGCCATGCTTCACCATTCTAAGCAATTGTCTGTGCCTTTGATAAATTCTCCATATGTTGTCCAAGCAAAGTCAGTAGGGCAGAGGTAGAGGGGTAGAATCAATGTGCTTGGGGCCTTCAGGTTAGATCTCTTGACATTGTGTAGATATCTGTGAGGGATGCAGGCTGCCAAGCAGTTGGTAGTTTACTCTCGCTGAATAACTGGGCTATCTCCTTTTCTATTCACACATATTCCTGATGATATTCTTTATGTCATTAGCCCTGTTCAGTTTTTTGTAGATAATATATCATCCAATCATGCACCTCTCCATTTTCCTTTGGATGAACTATAACTTTAAGTCTGTAGAATTCAGTTGCAGAGCAGTACTAGAAAAATATTGATTTTTAAAAAAGATTAGTCTTTCTAGAAGTCATAGAGACACTGAAAAATTTCCAAAGGGAATTCAACCTGCTCTCCTTCTATTAAACTCTGAGCCCATTTCTTTGCACTTTCTGAAGATCTGAAGATCTTCTGAACATTTTAAGGGCAAAATTGTTTCATTTCTGTGTTTGTCCCTAGTACTTACATAGAACTTGGAACATAGTAGGTCCTTAATAAAAAAAAATTATCAGAAACAACTATGCACAATTATTTGCTATGAAAACTCACAACATAAAACAAATATAGGAATACATTCACAAATATAAAATTCCCACTCTAACAAGAGAATAGCAGTCTTAAATAATTCAATTTTAGAAAAAGAAACTAAACTAGCTGTAATGGAAAATCAAGGTGGCAGAGGGAAAACTATTGATCTTGATGGATTCACAAGAGAATTCTATCAAAACTTTAAAGGATGGGGCAGCTAAGTGGCGCAAGTGGATAGAGTACTGTCTTTAAAGTCAGGAGAACCTGAGTTCAGACCCAGCCTTAGACCAAACATTTGACATTAGCTGTGTGATCCTGGGCAAGTCACTTAACCCCAACTGCCTAAAAAAAAAACTTTAGAGGATAATTCACACTAACATTACAAAAAATATTCTCAAAAACTAAAAAAGTATCCTACCAGACTCCTTTAATGAAACATGTATAGTTCTAATACCTAAACTAGGAAAGGATAAAGAAAGAATGATAGATCAATTTCATTAGTAAATATGGACTCAAAAATTTTAAATAAGTTATTGTCAAATAGACCACAGCAGATCATTCAAGAAATCATTCATTATTATCAAGTTGGATTTATATCAGACTTGCAAGCATGGTTCAACATTAGGAAAACAATTAACATAGTTAATCATATTAAAAACAAAAGCATCCAATAGTACATGATGTTTGTTAACAGGCACAGAAAAAGCCCTTGACAAAGTAAAATACATATCTATGCTAAAAAAAAAATGTTACAGAGTATGAACATAGAGGAATCCTTTAACAAATCATAGAAAGTATCTACATAAATCCAAAAGCAAGCATTATATACAATAAGGACATATTAGAAGCTTTGCCAATAAATACAGGAATAAAACAAAGATGTCAACTCCACCCCCACTGTTATTTTATATAATTCTGTGCATGTTAGCAATAAAATTAGAGACAGAAATTAAATGCATAAAGATTGGAAATGAGGAAATAATGCTGATGACATGATTGACTTTGAAAGTCCTAGGGAATCAACAAAAACACTGACTGATTTAATTAATAATTTCACAAAGTTTCAGGCTACAAAATAAACCATAAAAAATCAATATTACTTTTATATAATAATAACTAATCTAGGAGGTAATAATAGAAGGAAAAATATCATTACAAATTACTAAAAATGCATAAAACATGTGAGGTTCCATCCACCAGAGCACACAAAATACTTGTTAGATTCGACCACAAAGTGCTCCTTAAGGAAAAAAAAATACAGTTTAAATAGCTGAAGAACTATTTAGTGTATGACTAAGTCATGACAAGATAATAAAAATGACAATGCTACCAAAGTTAATTTACAGTTTTAATGCTTTTCCAATCAAGTTATCAAAGGGATACTTTATAGAAATTGATGAAATAGCAATTCATTTGGAAAAAATAAAAGATCTAAAATATCTGAGGAATTTTTTTTAAGTAGGGATGAAGGAGGAAAAATATTTCCAGAATATCACTTATAGGTCTCAAACACTATTATGAAGTGTCAGTCAACAAAGCCATAAAGGTTAAAACAATAGAGAGGAAAATCAATGGAACATACTAGATAAAGGAGAATTAAAAACAATGAAACTCAGGAACCCAATATTTGACAAACTGGAAAACGAGTTATTGAGAAAAGAACTACTTATTTCATAAAAATTGCTAAGAAAATCGGAAAGCTAACTAGCAAAAATTAAGTATAGAAATATATCGTATACCATATCTTATGATAAATTCTAAATAGACATATCACTTTAATATTAAAGATCGTAACACAGAAAAATAGAAAAGAAAACAGATCACATGGTTTTCATAGCTATACATAAGACATACATTCTTAACCAAACAAGGATAAAGGCAATTACAGAAGATAAAACTCTGATAACATGCAATAGAAAAGCTTTTGCACAAACACAACCTAGGATAAGAAGTAAAGAATACAATTTTGAAACAATATTTCTATCAAAATGGTTTACAAGATATGTAAACACTTTCCAATCTATTCTATCACAAAACAAACAAAACCCAAAGGCCTTCCCACAATAGTTGTTGTCAAGGAGTATGAACACAAGAAAAATCACAACCTATTAACAATAATATGAAAGAATGCTCCAATCACTAATACTAAGTGAATTTCAAATTAAAACCACCTTGAACTTTTGCTCTGCAATCTGGAAACTGACAAACATGACAAAAGATAGGCATAGTCAATGTTGGAAGGGTTATGGAAGGATAGGCACACTACTAGTAAGTACATTGTTGCTAGAGCTGTGAATAATTTCAAATATTTTGGAAAGTAATTTTGAATTAAAGTGATCAAAATATCTATTAAAATATCTATTTACAATTAAGCTTATATTCTCCAAAGAGGCTATCGATATGATTAAAGTAACCATATACACCAAAATATACGTAGCAGCACTCTTTGTCATAGCAAAGAATTGGAAACAATATCATTTGGGGAATGCCTAAACAAATATTGGTATGTAAATATAATGGAATATTGTACTGTAAGAAAAGATGAATGTAGAAAAATATGACATGATCTATGTGAAATTATGCAGAGTAAAGTAAGCAGAGCTCAGAAAACAATATGACCACAACAATGTAAAATAAAGAACCATGAAACAATCAAAAGTGAATGTTGAAAAATTACAAAGGACAAAAATAGCATCAAAGGAGAGATTTAAAAAAAAAGACATCTCCACCCTTTGCAAAGGTGGGTGCATTGCGCATATTTTCAGAGTTCTGAAATGTATATTGTTCAGTTTTTCTGATTTTTTTTTAACCTTTAGAAATACTATATGCTACATGGAGTAGCTATGTGTGAAGGAAAGGGAGAGAGCTAATGGGAAAAATTTTGGTGATTTGAAAAAATGAAATACATCAATAAAATTTATTTAAAAAGACAAAGCTAGAAAAATGGGTATAGTGGGTCCTCATAAAAGGATGATTAGTGCCAAAAATTGCCAATTAAAGTGAATCTGCTAAAAATGAGAACCAACATTTTTGATAAATAATGAATAAATGTTTTTTTGGAACTTAATCTTTAAAATGAAATTAACAATAATGAAAATAACCAATTTCAAAATTTTAAATTTAGGTTATACTAACAATTATATTTAATTATTAAATAAAAATGACAAGTATTGATTTTTAAGTGCAATTTCTTGACAAATTCATATGATAACATGCCACGTTTGACTTTCTCACAGAGGGATAGGAAGGGGGTTGATGTTATTATGAAGCAAGAATGTTTGAGGAGGAGCTAATTTTGTAAGTGGTCAATTAATTAGTAAATATTTTCAGGTTAGAACTACTTTTGCTTCCCCACTTCACTTTGTAGGAAAGCAGATTAGAGATCCATCTTAAGAGGCAGGAAGATCTGAGTTCAAGTTCTTGATTTCAAAATAAAATGTTTTGTTACCTTCAAGAAAATCACTAAACCTTTGAGTGCCACAAGTCACTCTCTAAGATTATATGATTCAGAATAAAGACCTGTCTGCCCTCATCAGGAACTCCTTTACCCATGAAATTACAGTTACATCTAAACCAAAGAGATCACAGGTTCACACCACAATAAGACTCAATTCCTAACTGCAGGCCCTTGAATAATAAATACTAGCCTATCTAGAACTCCAGGTGTTTAACCTATAATCATTTTCCATTTTAGCATAATTCTTCTGTTTACTTACATCTAAAATATTTTTAAATCCCACATGAACAAACTTACAAATTATAAATAAGCAATTTGATTATCTGTTCAGTCTGATAACTTTGCTACCAGTAGTTTAAAGTTCTACATACCTACCCTTCATCACATTTATATACAACCCGTGATCCAAATAAAAACTCAGTGTCTTCCAAAAGGTCAAAAGAACCAAACTGAATATCGCCAGGATGACCACAGGGCTTTCCTAAAATAAAATGACACAATATAAAATGATGATATACTAAAATAAAAATACCTTTGTTTTGCTCTGTATTTGAGTGAGATGGACAATGTCTATACTACACAGAGATTTCTGTTTTATGGTAGATTTACTAGAAATCAATTTTTACATGGAAGGGGTATCCTTTGAATTTCTCTATAGCCAAATACAAGGTATCTTATAATAAATATTCTAACTTTCTTTACAATAATTCAGTAAAAGTGTTCCTTTTTAGGAATGTAACTTTTTCTTTAAAAAAATATAAATTTCATATTTTTCAACCTGTTTCATAGAATTTGAAGTACCCATGTAAGTTAATAAAAATTACGCAAAAACAAGAAATACTCACTCATACATACTCTTTTTGGGTAAACAGACTCCCATTTTCCATTCATACATTCCAGGATTATACTTCCAAGTGTTCTATATCCAGGTCGACATTTGTAAGTAGCTTGTGTACCTTCTCTATATACTGACTCAGCCCATGTCCCTGTTAGAATTTCTGTAGGTTTTCTTGGAGGAGCATCATAGCAGTCTGTGGGAGGGAGGTGGAGGGGGGGTAGGAATGCCAAGGTTATTAATCAAAAATAAAAGAGACTAGGATTTTTGAGTTGGAAAAGACCACCAAGTTTCCCCAATCTATCTTATATATAAGAAAACAGAGGCTCATAGAGGTAAAGTGAATTGCCTCAAGGCCACATGTGGTTCTCTAGGTTCTCAAGTGCAGCCCATTGACTGAATCTAAACTTCACAGAGCAATCCCCTTAATAAAAGGATTTATTCTATAAAACTTGGACTCAGTCCAAAGGCCGCACCCAAGGACCTAGAAGACCACATGTGGCCTTAAGCCCACAGGTTCCCTATCACTGGCCCAGGGTCAAGCATTTGATAACAGCAGAGCAAGGACCTAAATGATCTATACACTGTACCACACAGTCCTTAGAGATGACTTTCTTCAACATGATAGTGAGGGCAATAGCTAAAATATATAACGTACTTTAAGGTTTGCAACTCATTTGATCTTCACAATAGGAAGATGCTAATATTACTGTCATTTTACAAATGAGGAAACTAAGGCTACATGGAGGTCATATGACTTGCCCATAGTCACATAGTAAGTGTCTGAAGCAGTTTGAATTCAGATATCCTTGATTTAAAGTCTAGAACTCTGTGCACTATATCACATTGCTTCTCGTAAGAACAATTGTGTAATTAAATAAAACTATAGCCTTTATCAATATATGCAAAATGCTCTGCAGAATTTAAAGTTCTATAAAAATGGTTATATAATAATATTGTTTATCATATTACATATTATAATTGATATATAAGTAAATCAAATATTAAAATTATTCTACCAGTAGAGCTCAGATACTCATATACCTTATGTGAAGCATGATACGGTTTTGTCTAGGAGGGAAACTCATGGAGCAGTAACGAAAGATGTACTAAGTACTACATAAATATTATTATAATTATAATTATTAGATGAAGACATATACTTAGTTCCCCATGCCAGCCAAATCAATTGAGGTGATCAGTTGAGCAATTTGCTGTTATTACCCCCCTTTTACAGAAGTGGAAACTGAAGCATATGTTAAGTGACTTGCCCAGGTTCACATAGCTTGTAAGTGTCTGAGGCCAGATCTGAACTCAACTTTTCCTGAGTCCAGGCCTACAGCTCTTTCCACCGCACCACCTAACTGCCTCTAAGATATCTAGTTCAAGATAACTGATGGACAATAATCGCAACTGTTGTCCAACTGTTGTTGTGCAACTGTTTCCAATTGATGGAAAACAATTGCAACTTATGTAACAATACTGATTGCAGAGGATGAAGAGATAAAGAATTTCTGAAAACTTAATAAGATTCTCCAAATTAAATCAATATACATTTTGACACATGGTGACTCTAAGAAAAAAAACTGAAAAAATGGGAGGATTGTGAGATTTATCTGAGAAAACAGTTCAAGAAGAATGAATTCGAGAATCTATGACTTGTAGAAAACACATGACTTTACACCAAGAATACTCTATCTGAGAAAAAAAAACAGGTATGCAATGAATATAGGAAACACTAAATAACAAACAAAAATAAAACATTATATTTTAACAGACATTAAAAGACTTTATATCAATGTGGTAGTTATTCCTGAATCAGCTGTCTTTATATAGTCAGATCACTTAGCTGTGAGAGAAAAGATTGAAATTAACAAAAAATTAATCAAACAAATAATAGTGGGAAAAAATATGGTGCACAGTTGAAACAAACCAGAACCATTTAAGACATAATTGAAAATGAGAAATTGGAAGTAGACAACAGCAATTGTATCAAATTGATTATAATTATATACAGAAGTTTAACCATAGCAAGGCCACCAAAAGAATCCAGAAAGAATCCTAGTTAGCAAACACTTGACTTAATTGACAAAGAAATTGCAGCCAATTTGTAAAATATTATAAAAAAGGATAATGGATAATAATAAGTAATATGTCATAAATCTGAGAGAAGTAGGAGAATAATGCAAGTTAAAATATAGCTTAGGAATTAGGGCTAAAAAAGTGATATGAAAGGTTATGAAGAAGAGGGGCTCTTCCACATAAATCCCTATAAATATCTGAAAAGAATCCCAGAAAGACCAATGATAAAGAAAATTAGAAAAAAAAAAACAGAAGTAAGCTCCTCCATTCAATCTGGAAATGCACAAAAATGTTCAGAAGCAAGTAGAAACTGATATGCCTGGTAAGCCAATGCTTAGCGAAGAAAGTAGTTGGAAGGTACGAAATTGAAAATTGATACCCTACTTTATTCTGTATTATTTGTTAATTATTGATTGAGAATTGTATCTAATCACTGGAATCACTATTTATGAATTAGGTTAATTTAAAGGACGGTTTGACTACTTAACATTATAAAACCTGACTTTTTAATAAAAGTATAACTTCCTTTTTTTCCTAAGCTACAGCTTGGACTCTAACCCTGGAATGATAAGGTGATCTGCCTGGCCATCAGTCATGGGTTTCTTAATACCAGACTTTCCAGAGAATAATGATTAATTCTGTGTTTTCCTTGTCATACATCCTGGAAATCCCCTCTTATAAACCAGGCTAAATGTGAGCCCACCCTACACCTTTACAAACTGTATAAAAGATTGCTCTGTTTTTAGACCACCTTCAGTTTCCAGAGGAATAAAACTAAGTAAAGTTGGGACTTATTTATTTACCCTTCTGTTGCTTACTCCTTTTAAAGAACCAACCTGAAGATACCACACAATCTCTGTTATTGGCTCCTACTTTGAGACTCCCAGGTTAAAGATGATCTCCAAGGGATCCCAGAGAGAGAACAGCTTGCTTTGAAATCAGGAAGCAACTGAAAAGTGGGTAAAATTTAATATTTTTTCTGTGAAGGCTATAATAGGTTAAGAAAATGGGAGAAATAAGAAACAGGAGTGATTTGAAAGGAAATTAAGAAAAAGTTACACCTTGAGCTCTTCAGAAAATTACAGTCCCCATCTGATACTTTTTTTTAGAGCAACTCCTATTATCTTTAATTAATTTATGAAGTTTTAATGAAAGCAGATACTTCAAATCAAGAAATTATTATGATATAAATGAGAGGATCTTCTAATGCAAGTTATTGTTGACCATTTGACAATGAGGCAAACTTTATTATTATATCATAAAGGATAATAATCTGGTTTATTACACTTAATTATTTTAACTAGATCCAACATGAAGTTCACCATCGTATTTCAACAGTTGTAATCTCACTGTCATCTTTTAATCTTGGATTTTTTTAAAATAAAAACTTAAACTAATTGATAACAGTGGACCCTGAAATTTGAAATCCTACTACCTAATGGAACTTGTGAAAATTGAGATTTTAAGTTGTTAATATTAGTAATTATACTTCTATATTTGATTTAGTTGAATCAAAAATAAATTACTGTGATGAGGATTTCTGTTCATTCAAAATAATTAGAAAATTTATTCCCCTTTTGATGAGAGACCAACTTAGCACGACTAACTGCTCAATTAGATACAATAACTTCATAACTTACAGTATTGGAAAATATTACAAACTTTGTAAAAGGAGGAGAAAATTAGGAACAAAGATCTTCCACAGGCAAAGAAAAACTGCTTACAAGTTTCTTTACACAATTAAGTACCAGTATCAAAATGAAAATTGCTTTTGTACAATAAACTAAAAATTGAGAAACCATAATTGGACCCTGGCAGATGCCCTTGGTCATCATCAAGTGAACTCTTTCTTGAAATAGGTGAATGAATACTTTTCTAACATAAAAGAGGTTAACTTTGAGGAGATAAATTACTTCTTCTCTAAAGTAATCCTGTTTACTGAAATCTGTAACACTCTACAGTGAGAAATAGGGAAAGATCTTAAACTTTGCAGTTGTGCTGTGACTTATATTTGAGTTTATTTTACTGTTACTTATAAGAACGCTAATTTCCCAAAAGGCCTTGAAGAAATTGGAATGAACAATTCATTTATAAACTTTTAAGAATGCCCACAATGTGACTGTATTGAGATTAATTGGTTTTGTGTAATAAAAATCTATACTAAAGTTTGAAGGAAAATTCACTAGAATGAAGATTAAGTCTTAGATATGATTGAGATATAAAAGACCAGAGGAATTAAGCAAGTAGAAAAAGTAAGAAGGTTTTAGGGGCAGCTAGGTGGTGCAGTGAATAGAGTTTCAGCCTTGGAGTCAGGAGGACCTGAGTTCAAATTTAGCCCCAAACATTTGATACTTACTAGCTGTGTGACCCTGGGCAAGTCACTTAACCCCATTGGCTAGCCAAAAACAAAACAAAACAAAAAAGTAAGAGGGTTCTGATCCCACTGAAATAAAAAGGATTTGAGGAATTTTTAGAGAAATGCCTCTTTGACAAATATGCACATCTCCCTTCCACAATAAATAAAAGATTACAAAAGAAATTTCTTAAGATTTTGAAGGGTTTTTTTCATTTAATTTTTAATTTATGGAATAAGACAAGCATTTCCATACCATAGTACAATAAAAAAAAGATGGTTGTAAGTGAAATTTTGAATTTGCTGTGCACAAGTTGCTACTTCCTTCAAATACACAACAAAATTATCAGGAATATTAACTAACTGATTGATAGAGAAAATATTATTTCATTGGTCTGGTTTAAATAGTTATGCTAAAGGCCTTTGTAAAAATTTAATAAATAACTTTTCTTGCCAGGGTTACAACCAAAAAGCCTCTGGGTAAAGGTGAGATGTGTATTTTAATTCTGCCCTCTTAAGGTAAACTTGTAGAGTGAAGTTAGAAAAATAAAAAGAGTTGATTTGGCTCTTTGGTTGAATTAAAGAAATAAAGAAAACATTGTAGGGAGCTGGGAGTGCCACCATGACTTTCTGAACATGAGGTAATTAAAAACCATGGGCCCTAAAGGAAAATGAGATATAAATATTTCCATTAGTAATTATAAATCAAGAATTGGTTTGTTTGAAATTTTGTTCTAAAACTACATTATAATTGTGATTTA